TATCGCTTTAAGGTCATTTATTTCGAAATAAAGTTTCTTGTGTAAGTAATGCTACAGTCTCCATGTGTTTTAGTAACGTATAATCTCATATTTACAGTTTAAAGTAGCAACTTTTTACGGTTGTTTTCAGTTTACCACTGGATACTACTGTTTTCAGGATGTTTTACTTCAAATAAAAGTAAGTGTAAATAGCGTATCTCTCACTACGTTTCACAGGAACCAACCAACTCTTTTGATCTCCAAGGTTCAAAAGATCAAATATAATGACCTTTAGCCCCTGCCGTAAATGTATTCGTAGTATAGTCAAGATTTCGGGCTTATGGGATGTTGTGGGAAGAAAGTTATATTTTGTTTTAGTAAATATGGTAAGGTTGTGATCTTTGTTTAAATATAAGTAGATACTAATTATTTCTGTGCCCAGATTCAATCCTGGGTCTCCTTTATAGAAGTCTGTAGAGTTATCCACTCCGCCATTTTGAAGTTGAATCAACTAACTACCAACAATAAATAGTTTAACTGCTGATCTTCTTCCGTGTTCAGGAAAAGTCCTGAGAAGGTCTATTTTATGTTGGTAGTACCCAAGATTCAATCCTGGGTCTCCTTTATAGAAGTCTGTAGAGTTATCTATCCGACAGTAGTCTCAAACTGCACCAGATATAATGACAGAGTTCTCAAGAGACAGTTATGCTCAACACATCCTATTACCAGTTATCAGATTTCATTATTATGGACAGTCAGATCATAATATATTATTATTATTATGGACAGTCAGATCATAATATATTATTATTATTATGGACAGTCAGATCGTAATATATTATTATTATTATGGACAGTCAGATCGTAATATATTATTATTATTATGGACAGTCAGATCATAATATATTATTATTATTATGGACAGTCAGATCGTAATATATTATTATTATTATGCTAACGCTGCAATGCTTCATAAAGTGGCGCTGATTGTATCACTTATAAAAACAAAAAACATTGTTAGTTACAAACTTTAAAGCCCGCGGATACGATTCATAGCAAGTATAATAAAAGATGATGCTTAGCTTAGCGGATATATATATATACATATTTCATACAAAAATAAAGATTTCTGCTACGTTTGACATCTGATTTTGATTTATTTGTACATATATATTTAAACACTTTAATAGTTCATTTTCTGACGTATGTCATTGGTTTAGAAGAAGCAGTGTTCGGCTGTAAGCTTGAAGGATAATAACGCTAGAATTTGGAGTTCGATCCTAGTGGGACGCAACACAGATAGCCAATAGTGTAATATTGTGCTCATCAATAGAACAAGTAATCAGATGAATCAGTGGTTCAGTTGTAAGTTTTAGGGTTTCATAATGCTTAGATTCGGGGTTCGATTCCTCTGATGAGTACAGTACAGACAGCCCATTATGTAGCTTTGCGTTTAACAACAAACAAATATAAATTACGAAACTACGACTCAGAATTAAAGTAAAACTAAACTTGCTTTCTTCGTCGGGGATGACACGAACCCCAAAAAAACATTGTCATTCTGAGTGCGCCAACCAATGAAGGCGTTTCTACCACTTGTACCGAAACGACGGTCAGGTTCGAATCATCCCGGATCGACTATATTCGCACAAGGAAATAAGTACTGGTTCCAATTTATGACCATTCAGAAACTAAACCAACTTTCTTCATATATATATTTTCTTTTCTGTAACACGATGAAGTGGAAATCTAACACCGTCCAGTAGATGCGCTCTCGGAATGATTGCTCAATAAGCAAAGAAATGTGTGACACCAAGAACCCAGTTACTGAACATGTCGCAATGACATCTTTTGTGGAAAAAACTCTGAATTGACCATGAACCCAGTTACTGAACATGTTGCAATTACATTTTTTTGTGGAACAAACTCTGAATTGAAAAAACAAGATATATCTAAGTACTTTCTCTGTGGCATAATTAACTACTTATAGGACCATTTCCGTGTTAGCGAGGAGAACCACTAACACACATGGCTTTACTGAGAAGATATATTTTAAAATTACTACACCCAGTAGACGTGACACAGTTCTTCCTGAAACATTTATAAACTGACCGATACTAAGTACATCTTATTACAGAAGTTTGTGTTTAGTGGAAATAAGACAACAATCAGACGTCATCTTTTATTGTTAAGAAAACCTTTATAACAGATTATCAGTGGAGATAAAAAATACGTGATAATGAGCTACATGTAAGATGTTCGAAGCGTGAGTCCCCATCAAGGTGAGACTGTGGCTAATAGTGTACTGCTAGACAAATCCCCATCAAGGGAGTACTATGGCTAATAGTATGCTGCTAGACAAGTCCCCATCAAGGGGAGACTTTGGCTAATAGTGTACTGCTAGACAAATCCCCATCAAGGTGAGACTGTGGCTAATATTGTACTGCTAGACAAATCCCCATCAAGGTGAGACTGTGGCTAATAGTGTACTGCTAGACAAATCCCCATCAAGGTGAGACTGTGGCTAATATTGTACTGCTAGACAAGTCCCCATCAAGGTGAGACTGTGGCTAATATTGT